AAACGATATTAAACAAGATTAATAAATAAATAATATTAGAAAATTTAATTAAGTATTGTTAAATAATGCATCATAAAAATTTTATAATTAACGCTGCTTGCGCCATCTGTTATTTTACAAAAGAACTAAAACTTACAAAAATTAAAAATGATTAAATACATACAAATAAAATTCTGTTTTATTTTATAAAATATAATAATTATATTAACATAATTAACACTGCGTATGAAACCTTTCAATAACGGCCACCTCTAAATTCCGATCATTTTTGAAATGCATACAAAATAACCTGCGAACGACGGCTATTTTTTTTTTATGTCCTCATCTTTGGACGTTGTTCAGAGGTTTGACTGTAATATTATAATTACTTTACTGGCAAAGAGAATAATAGGCAGATTAAACTATTCTATTAATCAAATCATAATTCGGATAATTTATAATAATAGCTTACCGACTTTATTAGATTTACTTGAGTGATTTATTTATTTATTTTACAAGTTACATCTATTATTTGCTTTTAACCAGATTAATATTTTAATTATTTAATTTTATTATGATCAGGTTGACAGAAATATCATACCAGTCCCACTAAGGATTTTCTCTTGTAACTTGTATTTTTTATATGATGATATAAAAACTAGTATAAATTTTAATATTCCTTATATTCATTTTTAATTATTTTTTTATATAGGTCTCTGAACAACGAACTCTGACAGGGAAAAACCTCTGAACAACGAACTCTGACAGGGACAAACCTCTGAACAACGAACTCTGACAAGGACAAACCTCTGAACAACAAACTCTGATGGGGACAAACCTCTGAACAGCGAACTCTGACGGGAACATAAAAAATCACCGTTATTCGGCAATGTTGATTTAGTATTAAATTTTGTAGTCCACCCGAATGAATTTAAAATGATTATGAACAATTGAATTGGCTTCAAGGAGGCTTAGATTCTTAATCTAAAGCCATTTTATAAAATCTGGATCTAACAAATGCTAACTCTTCTATACCATTTGAAATACAGAATTTAAAGTTTTACAGAAAATACCATAATAATTGAAAGTCAAAACTAAAAACAAAAAAAAAAACTATTCGAATTTTTTATCGGAATTTCAAGGTTTTTCTAAACATTGCTATCCATCCACATACGTCAGTAACGTGAACAGTTCGAGTTTTTATTTAATTTTTTTACACTAAATATTTTTTCGAAATTGGGAACCACAAAAATTTAACATTTGTTTGTTTGTCGTTAACTATTTCTAAGCACGCTGCCAACTTTTTATCCTAATCTTATCGATGCTGAAGTGTTTTTACTTGTATACAAAACAAAAATTGTATTGCTTAAATAAAAAATACAAGTTATAATCAGTAATAGATATTTTCGACAGAATTTTCCATTGAAATTTACTTGAACAAGGATTTAAAATGTTATGGCATTGTGAAACGTATTATTAGAAAAATTAAGAAAACAATAAAAACCTTTAATTAATTATTGAATAAATGTTGTATGCTTGAAATGCTAAAGTTAAAATAATAACATTACACTTATCTCTTCTCATAAATAATAAAATAAGCTCCCCAAGTGAATAAAACCACTTGGGCACTGAATACTGGCTGTGGGTGGCGGGTTCGGGCCTCGTCAACGGGCTGTCCACGTGAAGTTTTCCGGATTTTATTCACGAGTAGCCCCTAAATAAGGGCCAGTTTTCCGAAGAAAGTTCTTCCTGAAGGCACCCCATTGCAGATCGCTGAAGTATCCATTGCCTTATTCCATCAATGTAAGGTAAATAAGAGTTAAATTGGAAAAACAAACTATTATCATTATAGGATTTATTGCATAAAATAAAGAAATATATTATCAATATAATGATAATCTTTTATTAATATATTATTTGCAGTTCAAACAATGACATGTTAAACAAATTTTGTTTTAGGATTCTCTTTATATTAATTTTACACAGAGCTTCTTACTTTAAAAAAATGACTTATAAATTTTAAATAACTTTAAAACTCATTTCTTTTATTAAGTCTTAAACGAAAAAAATCATATTTTGTACACTTAAAAAAATCATTAAACAATTTCTCGTATCTTCGCAGCTGCAAGTCGTTAATTATTTATCGAGATTTAAATCTTTATCAACTGCATATTCTGTTGATAATGATGAAGCAAGATAAATTGAATGTAATCTATCTTCATCATGAAACGGAGATAAGATTTTATTAATTTCATTTTTTTTTTTGGAAAGTTTCTATCTGTTTTGGCTGCAGTTATTCATAATGTTACACTATAACTCTGAATGACACACAAGAATTTATCAATGATGCAATCAAATTATTTTAAATAGAAGATTTCCAAAAGTTGTTGTTGTTGAAAAACTTTTCTTTAAGATTGTTCTAAAAACATATTATTTTTTCATATTAGATAAAGACAATTTCAAAATTTATATTTTTTCGGCATATATGGTTGAGGAATTTGTCTGTCTCCAATATGTCTGGCCTCGTCCCTCACTCCTCCAATCGTTTCATTGTGGGCCTGCCAAATCCATCGTGGGTACGATTTAAACGGCAGTGTGCCACAGCGTAGAAATATTCAAAAAATTCAGAACGAATTGCTTAACTTTCCTGGCAACGTTCTGTGGCACCATCTGTTATCATATTTTATTAAAAAAANTAAATTAGTAGTCGGCATTTTGAATAATATCTAATTGAATTTGTCATTGTTGAACACATAATAATAATACGTTACCATTTAAATAGAAAAAATCCAGCAACAAGTTGCTCAATTTTCCTGGCAACATTTACTGGCGTCATCTATTCTCATATTTTATTTTAAAAAATGTTTATATTTTTAACTATTATAAAATGGCAAAAAGCTTAAATTTCATGGTAGGGATGGGTTTTATAAAAAATTGTAAATGCTAATAACCAGTAAAATCGTCATTAAGTCAGACCCTACTGGAGATTCATACGACCATCTTTATCTCCCCATTCCTTCGACCTTTAACCACCAAAATTTAATAGCATCGATCCCCATAATAAACAAACCTCCCTGCAAAATTTCGGAAATTTTTGACAAAAAGCATATGAATTATTAAGCTTCAAAGAGGGTAACGCACTGACATCCATACATACAAAAAAACCTCTCCGAATTTTTCACTGATTAGTTATTTCAATTCCGTCTGTGCATTTATAATCAAACATAATTTATATTGAGAGTATTTACTCAAATATGTGCTTAATTTCCATTTCAATTGCCAGTTTTTATTATTATTGTTTAAGTTTCAATCAGATAAAGAATATTTAAAACTTATAGAATAGATAATAAATTCAAAGCATTTGTTTCAGTTTGAAAGAAAGACAGCTTGAGACATTTAAATTAATCTTTTCTAGGGAGTGGTCCTCATTAGGATAAAATGTCAATACAGATAAACTTAACTGTGTGTGTCTCTTATCCCTTTCTTTAAGATATAATCAATGCATTTTTTTAATTTCTCCGTCTCAAGAACTAATTCCTGAATTCAATATGCATGTAATTCGTTAAAATTAATAGCAAACTGATGCAAAGAAAATTTTATTTTATTTACTTTTGACGCTGTTTAAGTCAATTTATTGATTTTTTTTAAGTGGATCCTGGAAACAGGTTGCCTCAATTCTTATTGCATTGATGGAAACAAGAATTAATATATAAAAAGTAAAAATTAAAATATATACGTTATAAAATAAGAAAAGTTATGAAATTTTACTTTAAATTTGTAAAAGAAAATAGCATTAAAAACTTTAACTTTTTCTATTAATTTATGAATAAATCTTAATGTTGTGGATAGTTTTATGCCATTTTAATTACTTAAATAAATACATTATATATATATTGGCGTGATAATTTGACATTTTTTATAAATTGAAACTTTGCTTTTTCTCCAAATATCTCGTCAGATTCGATTCTGTATGAAAGTACTCTACTTTTCTTCTCTTTGTATAATCCTCTTATTAACCAAGAATTGGAAAGAGGGCTAAAGGTCAAAAGTTAAAAAATAAATAAATAAAATAAAATAAGCTTCTTATAAAAATAAGGAAAATTTTTCTAAAGTACTGTTATCGCATGTACTACAGTAAAATTATAAAAGTTTTAATCCATCAAACATATATAACATATTTTAATTTATTAGTAGATTTTTCGTTATCATGAAGTGTATATAAATAAGTAAATTTATAGATTTATTAAGAACTGAACCACCGTAGAGACGGGGGTGCCTCTTTCTTTGTGGATAAATCAAAGTATAGAAAACAGATTTGAATGTGACAAGCGCATTTATAGACAGTATCTAAGATGCTTTTTATCCACAGCACTTAGTGCCTACATCCAAAGTGGTAAAGGGGTGAATGTAGGGTCTACTTACGCTACTGTATATAATATTTCAAAAAGAGCAGTGATGGGAAGACTTTTTATGTGAAACTGGCTCCTATTTAGTGTTAGACACGTAAAGATAACCCGGAAACACTTGCCAACCCGTTGATGAGGCTCGAATCCGCCACCTACTATCAATGGTTTATAGTTTTATACCCATTCGGCCATTGATGAGCCCGAATATAAATCAAAATATCATTATAAATTTTTGAGGTTTAACTTTAAAGTTATTTGAGGAATTAATTTATTGGGCTTCTGCATATATTACAAAATATCTGTAGAATAATAAATAATAGTCGATTATTACGAACTGAAATTGGATTGTTTCCATATGCATTCACTGAAATATTATTGAAAAATTTTTATTATTAATTTAAATTATTATTTTAAAACAATATTCTTTTTATTAAAAACAAAGTTGATCTTTTCATTAGTATCTTAAACACTCGGTTTGTTAAATAAAATTCCATAAATTTCATTGAAGTTGAATTAATATGTTTATCAATTAAGAAAATTAAATACAAATGTTTTGTTAAATTTCACTAAATAATAAACTCAAAAAGTATTTAAATATAGAAAAGTATGAAGAATTTTTTTAAACGTTCCAAAAATGGAAAGAAAAAGACATATCCAATGGTAAATTTTAGTGGTTTTATATTTTATTATTTAATTATTAAATTTATATATTTTGAAGGAAAGTTATGAGTTTTGCTATTTCCACGGCTTAAAGAAAATCAAACCAAAAAATCAACTTAATTATCCTGAAGTGAGTAAATCGAATAGCTTTATTTTATTGTGTAAGATATTTAAAAATTAAAAAAAATAAATAAATTTTACAGTTAAAAGAAAGATTCGAGACGAAAACAATGGAATTTAATAGAGTAAAAAGCCACACCTCTATTGCTGAAGAATTTCCTACTGATCCCATACAAAGAAATAGTATAAATGCAATACGTAGATTCCACGACTTAAAATCTAGTGTTTACAGCAATGAGCTATCTGATCGAAATACATCAATTACGAATTCTCTTACACAAAGCCTAGAACATCTAGAAAAGCAAACCACTAATAAATCAATGAAAAATGGTCTAAATAACACGAAAATTTCGTGTAACAGTTCTTGCCACGATAACTTCTCCGATGTTTCAGTGGAATCGAATTTGTCCTGCAATATACAAAATAGGAAAACATTCTATAGAGATGACGAATCGTTTAATTCTGAAAGTTCTCAATATTCTAATCATCGTATTGCGGCTGAATACACTTGCTACGAACCTCTTCCACCTTATATAGATGATGATGATTACATTCAAGAAGTATGGAGTAAAACGCCCAGCATATCGAATCAACTCCATCTTCGGCAAAGGAATTTATTTAATAGAAACCATTCTAAGTCTGATTATAGTAATTATACACCTTCATCGAGATGGAAGAATTCTCCGGAGTTTATTTCCATCAAAAATTCCTTTTCGGGTAGCGTGAAATCGACTTTAATCTCTGGATCGGATTGCAGTTCATCCAACGTAACACCAAACGAAGGTTACAGGAATGTAAACAGATACCAGCATAAATTAAGCGATAAAAATGTTCACAAAGATCGTAATAAAGTGATTTTAGATGATGAAAATATTGTTAATGACAACTACGAACACGAAGTTGTCATGAACAGGTCATTACTAATTGATTTACACGACGATCGCCTACGCAAATTCAGAATGGAATTTAAAGTTACAGATTATGATTCCGGTCATTTAACATCATTTATAGAGATGAATGAGTGTGTTCTCAGTTTAAAAGTGGAAAAAACAATCGTCAGTGATTTAACCGATGAGAAATGCTACACTAAATTGGAAGTAGCTATGGTTTCTGATATGGACAAATCAAATAAACACGGATTTAAAAGAGAAAGAGTAACTCGATTAACTGAGAATGCTTTAAATGAATTAATTGAAAAGCTTTTAACCATACAAACAAACAGTAGAATGAAAGAACGAGTAGAAAAAGCAATTAAAGAAAAGATACAGAAGTGTAATGCTATGCTTTGAACAGAATTTTCGCTTTTATAAAGAAGAAACTATCTTCTTTAGACTAGTTAAATAATACTCTATGGTAATTTAATAAAGTAAATTATTTAGTAAAGCTTTTAAATTTTTAGAAAGTTTTTAAATAATAATAAATTTTAAATATGTGATATTTGACCTATTCGAAGTGTTAACGTTATTTCGTTAGTTTATTTTCCTTTGAGTGTAAAATTTCAAATATTTTAAATGGTTAAAATTCGTGACACATTTAAAATATTTATAACTGAAATATTTCCGATTATTTACAGAATAAATCGTGTGAAGTATTTTAATCCTTTTAATTCCTTTAAATTTTCTAGGAAGTGTTTTTTTGTAAATAAATTAATCCTAACAAATTAACTTATTAAAAACAATGAACGTACTTTTCATAATAATTATTGCCATAATTGAGAAAGTTATATCCTTTTATACTATTGTAGGATATAGGATTTACTTCGGAATCATTTTTACTTTTCCGGATGTTATATATAAGCAGAGGTCTAATATAAGACGATCGGTTCTAAAAATGACCTCCCCCCGCCCACCATAGATTTTTACATTTTTGGACTCAGGAACATTGAAACGTCGAGAAATGGTAAAACGTTGGGAGTTTTTTCCTGTATATGTGTATGTGGGGGCACGATTTTGTTCACCCTGTTTGAATCCTGTACTTTTTGTCGAAAATTTCTGAAATTTTGCAGAGAGATTTAACAAATTTATCAAAAGGTTTCACATATCTGCCCGCCTCTAATGCTGTACGTACAGTACCATCACAGTTTTCCCACTCCACGATCATCTTTTACGAAGACACCATTCTACGTCACGAAAGAAAAGATACACCTGATATTACACAAAATAAATTTTTCTAGAATTTACCATGCTAATCATAGAAGAGAGAGCTTAAGTTTCAAATTTAGGGACAAAATAGTATCATGTATTATTCGACTATAAATAAAAAAGGTAATGTAGTACAGGTACTGTACGTGTAAATAGGAATCATACATAAATGCTGCTTATTAAAAACGAAAAAATGCAATGAAAATTTCTTAAATATTTTGTAAAAATTACTATAAGTATTAAACAAACTTTTTAAATTACAACGTGTCCGAATAATAAACAAAATTACCCACATCTCTCATTAAAAAAAAATCAAGCAGTGCGTTTGTAAATACACACACTTTTTAAAATTAAAAACAAATTAAATAAACGACAAAGAAACTAAATAATTATTTTACTGTACATTTGAATTAAAACAAAATACAAAAACCTAAAACAATTAACAATTATGAACGATTACATATGTTTTTACGTAATTACAACAGATTATATAAACGAAAAATTTGCTTTTTAGGATTTATTCAATTCTCTTCAGAACTGTAAAAAAATCATAAAAATATCTTATTATTAGAATAAATATGTAAGAAATATTTAATAATAATTTNGGTTTTTTTTTTGAATAATTTCTTTTATAAAGATTTTTGGACACGTTATAAAAGTTTAAATCCATAAATTATACCCAATTTACCTGTAGGTTTCTATTATTTTAGTCTTTTGATGTGTTATAAATAGTGATGATGATGATGAGATAGGAGATGCAGGAGAATAACGCACGTATATTTCACCTCTGATTTTATAGATTTTTAGGAAAACTTTTGCACTTTGGGTTTGGAGATTAGTACAAATGGAAAAGAAAGTCAATATGAAATTATATATCGCCATTATTTATTAAAATAACTTAAAAATATTTAACTCTCTAATTCTATTAATTTCCTAGAAGTCTTATAAATATATTATGGACAATATGAATACAAAAGCCATTCCTTAATTACTGAAAATTCCATAGGAAGATGTAGGAAGAATTAGTCAAATTAAATCTACATGTAAATTTATTAAATAATTGAATATGTATTGTATGCTCTTACTTTTATGAAATTAAACATAATATATTTATTTTCAATAGCATAATATTTGGAATATTTTATTTAATTAAAACATTTTAATAATTTTTATATACAAGTTTAGTTTTTTGTTCTTTTATCGCTCAACAGATGGCATTAGCAAGATTCTTTTACTTATCATCATTAAATTGTAATGATGATTAAATTCGAATGCAAATTTTCCTCGTCATTATTATATTGACAAGGTGTTAACTAAGTTCAACTTGTTAATGGTGGCATTCGGTACCAAGTTTTCTCTCCGGAAGAAGGGAGGAACATGTGATATCCTATAATTAACAAAATTCGTTGTTCTCGTAAATCACGTGACATTGGCATCTCCCTTAACATTTTAAATCAGCGTGTTCCTGCCAGAAGCCCGAAAAACTCGATACGAGTTCTGACCGACTCCACCTCTTCTGAAGGTGAAACGTGACCTGTTGCAAGTTGAATGACCTCCAGGTGATCGATTCACCTTTGACCCTGCCAGATGTTCGACTTCAGACCAGTCTTGTCTTTTATTATTTTTTATTTTTTTGGAAATTTTTGTACGCGTTAAAATTTATAAGATCGGATGCTGGACTCATAAAAACGAGTGATGCTTCCAGATTTATAAATCACTGTCATTCCTTCTTTTTTCTCTTCTCATTCTTTAAAATTCTTCAGTAGAACTTGTTAACGTCACTACGATTTCCTTAATGTATAAGTAACTTCATATTTTATAACACATATTTTTGAGAAAATTTATAGTTTCTACGACGAGTATTAGTCGTTAAAATGGCTATAAAAGCTCTATTTTTAGACTTAAAAATTAAAATATTTTCAAAACTAAAAGAATTAGTTTTTTTGTTCTCAAATCAATAATTATTTGATTGAATTTTTCTTTAAGAGTCATGCCTTTAACATATTTTATCTTTATAAAAATGTTTAAAAGTATAAAAAAATTTTAAGAAAAAAGAAGAGAGAAAATAATAACGATTTACATAAAGGATAAAGGACAGCTAAAGACGTGAAGAGATAACGATGCCATGGATAAAAATGAGTAAAAATAGCTAAAGGGATTTATGTAGTGGATACAGAAGGCATTTATCGGACATTCCTCGCAGCAAATTTCTTCTTTATCTTAAATGGCGCCGTCTGCCTCGTTACTAAGGTAACTAAAACAACTTCCATGATCGGAGAGCGACCTTGAGACACAGCCCAGGTGTAGGAAACGCTTGTATTTGGCCCGTCCTTGCCCCGGGCCTTTGTCTTCTGGTTAAAGTCGTGTTGTTTTATAAGTGTTTAGTATTCATTCTTCTTTTATTATTAATGTAATAATACGAGGTGTTAATATAGGAACTTATCGAGAATGATAGGATGATTGGTTCAATTATATACACTTTTTTTGTCAAAGAAATGACGTTTATCGGTAAGGTACTCGCCAGATTATTCTACTTAATTATAGCTAAATTATTGGGTAAAATGCGAGGTTAAGAAGCGCTTCTTTCCAGTCAATTCAGGTTACGAACTGAAAGGATCAGAAGAAAGATGTCCTTTAAAAAACTAAGGTTTGTTTTCTTTACATGATGTATCTTCACTTGACATATAGATTATTAAGGGGCTCCGACTGCAGACTCCAATCTCAATAATCTCCCGAACTGTCTGGATAAGTTGTAATTATGGTGCGAAGTAGAGGAAAGAGGGCCGAATTTTCTTGGGAACGCAAAAAATTGTCACCTATAAGTACTTCCTTGTGTTTTTCTTTATACGAATTTACCTTCTTCTTCGCAACTTTTCCTAGAAATATATTCTCCAAATCTACTTTTTTTTTCCTGTTCAAACTGGATTTAAGATAACTTGGACCCTTTTAAAATAATAGAATCGACACATTCTATACTTCAAAATGGCAAAATTTAGCATTTAAATAGAATGAAATTTATCTAGAATCGTTTAAATGCTATAAAACGGACATTTAAGATAAAATACGAGTCTCGTATTTTGTTTTAAAATTACCAACCGAACGGGGCTCTTTAATCATTTTGTCCTAGAAGGCATTCGACAAACAAACAGTAGTATATTATTGACCAGTTATTGCTATCAATATGGCAGAAAATCGCACGAGAACCTTCATTCAAATCGTTACACGGAAAAAAGATATTTAGATAAGATATAAATAGAATTATTTAATAAAAGAAAAGACAAATTCCATTTGATTGGCCTTCGGGCACATTGTTTATTTTCCTGCATAAATTATCAAAATGCTACGTGATAATTTGTAATGTTTTGCGCAAACTTTGTTCTTTGTACTCGATTCTATTCCTTTACAATAAAGTTAATTTTAATTCAGACTATGGCAAGAATTAAACAGTAAAATCAAATTTCGATATTTAAAACTAAAATTTACTTAGTATAAAATTTGTTAAGTTTATTTAATCATTCTTTACTTCAAAACAACATTCCTTTTTTGTTTGTTATAGGAATTTCAATTCGACATTATCTAATAATTACATTTTTAACGATACAATTTACTAATTATTGAAGTAATTTTCCATAATATTTGATAATAGCGATATTTTTTCTATATTTGGAAAAGTATAATGACATAAAATAAATCAATTCATTGTTAAGTAGAGACACGAACAGCGAGAAAGTCGTTCCTCCTTCAGTCAAAATGTCGTTTCTCCTGTCCAAATTCGGTAATTATTTGCGTAGATTGTAAATATTTTACTCCCAACATTGGCATTTTTGATTGAAAGAATTTGTAGGGGGTAATCTTAAGCTCTAACAAGTTCCTATGAATTTATACATAACATAAAAGTCTGCAATGATTTATCATGTATAACAAGTAATGCAACACGTAAATACCTACATAAATATCTATAAATACCTGTCCACCTACTCGAATAATAATAATATTAATTCATTTTTTCGTGCTATTTAAAGATTCCATCTAATGTAATGAATGCATCAAAACATGTCCTTGGAAGACCTTGAAGCTCTTTATTTTACATTGACAGTTACAAATATCCTGTTGCTCTTTATCATTTATTTAACTACGCTATTAGATTTTATATAATACGAAATGAGGTAATTACGTTAATAATAATTTATAACTTTTGATACAAATTACTAATTCGAAATACATTCTTCTCCACGTGGTTTTTTAAAAAAAATAGTTTAAACTTAAATCGAGAGATGGCGCCTCTTGA